GTCAAAATTTAAATATGAATTCAGAAAAAGGGGTATATGAGTGTTTATTGTAACACTCTTTAAACTTTTCTATAAAAGTTCTATAAGAAGAGTGGAGAAAATAAGTAATAAAATAATTTTTCTTTCCACTCCAGCTACACTGTTCTTGCAGTTCATCAGAATCACAGAATCACCCTTGCTTCAGGTTCTTGTTCTTGTTTCATCTGCCTGGAAGAGTCTTTCCCCAGATGATCTGCAAGACTGATTCTCAGTTCTTTCAGGTCTCTGCTCCTAACACTGAGCTTGGGTTCAGTGGAGGAGGCAGAAAATAAAACAGCAAATAAATAATTTCAGATTTTAATAAATCTAGGAAGGAAACATATCATTATAAAACTGTTTGATGAGAAGGTCCAAGAATAGTTCTTGGTTCTAAGAGATTGTCAATTTTTTTGATAGAGTTAATATTTAAGATAATATAATAAAATCTTACATTTTTGATCATTTTTGAAACCATTTTGTTTTCATGGAATTTTACATATTTGGAGGGTATTCAACTTGTGAGTTATCTAGTTTTTTTTTTCCTCTAAATAAATACATTGTTTAAAGTACTATGTAATATTTATGATTTTTAATCTCTACCTTCACCTCAATCCCACTGCACTATAGATGGCAAAATACAAAATGAACATAAAAATTTGGGAATGGAAGTGTACAACCTTTAGCATCATACCTTAAACATTTTATTTTTCACTAATAAAATCATTTTTTTAACTCTTAAATTAACTTTTCTTTTGAACTTTAAAAAAGTAAAAATACTCTTTTTGAAAAGCAAGTACTTTTCTTCATATGCAACTGCAGAACCTTACAGTGTATTTTCTTCTAATCTAGAAAAAGTGTAGTTATAAAATATTTGACACACAGAATCCATGGTATGAAGTTAAAAATTTCCAAATTGTCATTGTTTTAAATCAATACTAAATTTAAAAAGAAACACAATGATTTTAAATAGCAAAATGATGCCTATACTTGGACTGGGGTAAAGTTGGGGTAGGGGCAATAGGATATACTAAGCTCAAAAGAAAAGCGAGGGAGAAAGAGAGAGATGCAAGCATCTAACTAAGGAAAGTGAAGCCTTTTAAAGACAATAAAAATCAATGTCAAGTTGAACTGACAGAAATGAGTAGGGAGACTTTTTTTTTTTTATTATCCCCAAAGAATTATAATTTGGGTAGAGGAAAAAGCTATAGGTGATATAAATTGTCAGACCATTTTCTAAAGCATTTGTTACTGTGCTCTACAAAACCATAGTAGAAATGTTAATTAGTCAATTAGTTTGAAACTTATGATCCTGCAAACTAAAACACTCCTCCCACAAAGAGTGTTCACAAAGAGAATCACTGGTATGAGAAGAGACAGACATTTGAATTTAATGTATTCAACACTCTAGTGAACAACAGACAAATAAACCTGCAGGTGATTCCAATAATGGAAAAGTTTTTTAAATGCCATGCATACTACCACAGTTTGATATAAAATTACATAACTTTCCATAATTATTACTTTTGTATCTAAAAGAGAAGACAACCAAATGTTTCCTTAGACAAGAGAAATAGAGAAAACTTGAAAGTAGTTAGTCAGCTGTGTTCCTGAAACTGAGCAGGACCCTGTGGGGCTTCTAGGCACAAAATTCTTTCTGTGCCCCCCATTTCTTGTTTGTAGGAAATAGGCTTCATTCAACCTTCATGACATTCCCCTGAGTTCCAAAGGGCAGGTTCAAACAGTTGCTAATCAGGGAAGGGAGGGGATGCAGAGACAAGGGAGAAGCAGTCAAGAAACAATAGTGACACCTTGGGGCAAGATCCTGGTTCCTCCTCAAGAGATACATATAACAGTATCTTTGAGCTCTTCTGTAGAACCAATCCCCCCACCCCCCACCCCCGCCAAATGGAGGATGTTAACTACTTGATGAAGCATTCTTCATTGCAGAGAGAAGGTCACAGTTCGATAACTTGCAGAACCACAGAAGCCTATCACAAGACCACCGGACGCCAAATGATTTCTGGATTGAAGGAATGCAGGCCCTGCATGCACACTGATCCTTATCAGCAACACTGCCCCTTGAACCATTACTATAAGACTCCTTACAACCCCACCCCCAGGTGGGGACACACACTTTTGAGGGCATTAGTCCACTGTGGGCCCCTATCCCTGGCAAAAGAATAAAGTTATTCCTTTCTACTTCACCCAAAACTCAGTCTCCGAGGTTCAACTTGGTGCCAGTGCACTGAGGCCAGGTTTTGACAACACTGCCACCTTGGGGCATCCCTTTCCTTCTTTTATCTGCTCAAATTGACCTATGAAATTGACCTCAGAGCTATGAAACCTCTCTGAGCACCCCATTCAAAAACCAGCCTGAATACTTCTCTCCATTGATAAAGTATAAATTGACTGAGGCCAGGGACCTGTTTTGCCTTATTTCCCACTGTATTTTGTGGGAGTGGGGTAATCTGAAATTGTAAAAGGGTGGACAGGGAAAGCCTCTTTGAGAAGGTTACACTGGAACAAAGACTTGAAGGAGATGTGAAAGCTGACCTTGTGGCTATCTGGGGGGTGAAGGATAGGAGAAGGGAAACTTTAAGTCTAACCTGAGCAAGGCTGATGCATTTGGGGAAAGGCAAGGAAGCCAAGTGACCAAGGGGAAGAGTGGTAGGAGAGTAGGTCAAGAGTTGCTAAAGGGGTCAGTATTTGGGACTTTGTTTTTATTGAGATAAGAAGTTATTCAGGTTGGATGAAAGGTGTGAAGTACTTGATCTGCATTTTAAAGGGATTACAGTATGGCTTTTTGAGAATAAATTAGAAGAGAGACTCACATTTTAAGAGTATCCCTCTGGCAATTATGCTGAGAATAAATTGAAGGAGGACAAGAAATAAAGGAAGGAGACCAATTAAAGGGCTGTAACAAAACAGCAGAGGAGAGAGGATAAGGGCTGGAATCCAGGTGGTAGCAATGAAGATGCTAAGTTGTCAGATGCTGGATCTGGCAGGATAGGCTCATGAGATTGGGTGTGCAGTGTGAGTGAAAAGAAACAAATCAAAGATGGTGTATGGTTTAGGGCTGGAGCACCTGGAAGAACAGAGTAACCGTTTACTAAGAAGGAAAGGACAGATGGGAAAACACCAAAAGTGCTACAATTGTGACCCTTATTAGAAATCTAGGTGGATATATCAAGTTAACTGTTGAGTCTAGGAGTCTGGAGATAAGAAATGGAGATAGAAGTCTGGGAATCATGAGATGATGTTTACAGCCATATGGACATAGGAGATCAACTACAGAGAAAGAATGGATAGTGCCTAGACTACACCTAGGATTACGCTCCGGGCCAGAGCAACAACAAGAAGCTGTGGAGATGAGGAACAAGTAAAGGAAGCTAAAAAGGACCAGCTGCTGAGGAAGGAAAGAAGCAAGAGAGAATGGTGTACCCAAAGCAAAGTGAAGAAAATCTTCCAAGAATGTGCTGGATACAAATTCTCCACAGGTTACCTTACTAAATTCATCCTACTCATCCTTCACAGAAGGTCACTTTTTTGATAAGCCCTCTCTGACCAGTCCTGCCTTAGATAGACGATCCCCCTCTGTGTCCCTAAATCACAGTGTGGGCCTCAATTATAAGACTTATCACATTTATGACTGCAGCTTCACTTCTCTGCCCTTTCTTTCCCCTCAGAAATGCAACTTCCATGAGGGCCAGAAGCTTCACCAGAATGCTGGAATCTAGTGATACCTCTGGCAAATCAGGAGGAAGTTACATTTATTGACAGCCTACGGTGTAGCAGGCAACATGTCAATACCTTTACTCAGGTGTTTGAAAATTGTTAGTAAAAAAAAATGAAGGAAGTACTGAATGAATAGCAGAGGTAACATAGATGATAGAAAAGGCAACTCAGTACACAGGTAGAACCCTGGAGTGAAGACCCACACATTAGGGCACCACAGCTTAATAGCAATAGCAACAAGACTACTCAGCTAACCCTTCTTGCTCTCATCAAGCAAAATTCTCGAATATAATTTTGTTTCCTTTATAGATTTTCCTGTGGAGTTAGGAAGTGATAACTAGCAAGCACAAATATCTTTTCTAACTGGCTGTTGCATATCTCACTGTGCATGAATAAATTAGCATTCATTTTTAGACATTAGTCTAATGTAAGTTTGGTTGGTTTGTTTCCTTTTGGACTTCCAGGGATGATCATTCTGCTTGTTTTTCGTTTTTCAAGTGCGAAAATCATGTTGTGTGATGAAGATGGGAATGACCCAGGCAATTGCAAGAGATTGTGATACAAGAAACCCAGGGCATGCTTACTGTATGACTGGCTGTCAAAGGAAAATATTGATTTCCATCTATTTTTATCTCTTGTTGACACACAGTAATGGTCACAGTCAAGATTCTTGCGTGGACTGGGTAGAGATTGTTATGCAATGAACTGAGCAAAAAATTATTTTTTGTGGTTGTTTGAAATATGATCCATTTTTCTGTTTGAATTTATTCCCTAAACTGAAAAGATAGAATCCTAGAGCCATACGAATACATTCCATGTTTAAACCTAACATTTGTTAGTGTAGCCAATCTTACTAAGCTTGATCAACGCGTGAAGCTCTGACAAATTACAGTTTGTAGTCCTTTAAAGATCAAACTTGACTGTGTTGACACAGCTAAGGTAATTTATTTCTAAGGTCCTGAGTGGGCTTGGATTTGGTCTCCCTCTAAGATACCTGCATCATCTCTAAGTTCAACAGAGTCAAGGAAAATTTTGGATGAAATTATTGGATAAATGGTATCAGGTGGATAAAACCTTTGCCAAGGTTTTCATGTTTTAAAATGTATTGGACAGTGATACTTCCTCTATTTTTATTGACATCAGGAAGATGAGAATTCACAAGTATATAATTTCTTGTTACTAACCCATCTATCAATTTCTATAACCAAGCTAATAATCCCATTTTTATTTTATGGTATGTATCTTACCTTAACTTCCACATGTGCCATCAGTACTGCAAAATTGGTTAGGTGGTTACAAGAGCATGTAGTATGTGTCTTATTTGTTGTCAGGAGCCGACAGCCTTGGGTTGACCAATAACCTGTCATTGTGCGCTTGGAATAGCTCCAAAACGAACAGTTAGGATTGAAGTTTTCCTCAGACTGCTACAGGAAAAAAACATCAACAAAGCCAATAACTACTTTTTGATCATGTAAGTTAGGTAGGCACTTTTTTTACATCTAACACAACTTCACACTATGTTTCAATTTTTGTGGAGAGGTCTACCAGAGTTTTCATATTAAGTGGGGCTTATCAATTCTAAGCAAATTTGAATATATGTTATTTATTCCCCCTGATTAGAGGTGAATTCATTTTTCAAAAGTAATATTGAAGGAATACTAGTATCATTGTCTCAGAATCACATCCATTAATTTATACTGCAAAGCAAAGAATTGCTCTATACAATGAACTTCTGATAGCATGGTTTTAAAAAATCTTTGTTCAATGTACAATACAATCCTTGCATATACATAAAAATATATCTACACACAAAGACATAACTACTTGTAACATCAGTTGAGCTATGCTGAGTTCCACTGAACATATTGCTAGCTCTTTTTAATTATAGAGAAGCATTTATAAATCCATCTATGAATGTTGTTACCTTAAGTATATACATATACAAGAATTGCTCTCCTCCCTCATTTTGGAAAAAAAATCACTAATCAGTTTAGAGACAATGAATTGCTATATGTCAAAAGATAGGGGAAAAGAAAAAGGAAATTAAGACACTTCATGCTCTTGTTATAACAAATATAGATAATGTGGACAAAAAACTTCACATGCCATTTTGTTTACCTTGATGTGTTTAACAGTGAACACCACAGGATCAGCCAAATAAACCTTATTACTGAATTCTTTGTTTATTGCTGCTGTAATAACTGGGGAATTGACGATAACAGAATGATTGGTGGACATAGCCTCTGTTCCCAACTTCATGCTGGCATTCTCCGTGGACAAATAAGGACCCAAGTTGTTATACAGGACAAAGGCCACTCTGATCTCTCCTAAAATAAGTATATATAAATTGGGAAGAAACTGATTAGCTTGTACATCCCACTTAAATTAGAGAGTTCTCATTAGATTGTAATCAAATCTGTATAATATATATATTCACAACAAAACTCAAATATTCATTTCAACCAAAGTGCCAAGTCATTAATGAGGAAAGTCAAATGATACTGAAACAACTATGTATCAGTATTTAAAAAAAAAAAAAAATGAACCTCAATCCCTAACTCATTCCATACTCAGAACTTAATTCAAGATAGATCACAGTCCTAAATATAGAAATCAGAACCAGAGAGCCTCTGGAACAAAATATAGGATACCTTTGTGATCTTGGGAAGGCAAAGATGCCTTGGATAGGACTCAAAAAACACTAACCATAAAATAAAAAATGGTAAACTAAACTTTCAATAAAAATTGAAACTTTGTGCCTATCAAAATACAGCATTAAGAAAATGAATAGGCAAGCCACAAACTAGGAAATATATATATACATATGACTCAAATATATAAAGCATTTCTGCTACTCAACAGTAAAATTATAAATAACATACTAAAATGGCAAAAGACATAAAAACACACTTTAAAAATAGATATATAAAAAGCTAAATGGGACTTCCCTGGTGGCACATTGGTTAAGAATCTGCCTGCCAATGCAGGGGACATGGGTTCAAGTCCTGGTCTGGGAAGATCCCACATGCCATGAAGCAACTAAGCCTGTGTGCCACAACTACTGAGCCCGTGTGCCACAACTACTGAAGCCTGCATGCCTAGAGCCCATGCTCTGCAACGAGAAGCCACTGCAATGAGAAGCCCGCACGCTGCAATGAAGAGTAGCCCCTGCTCGCCACAACTAGAGAAAGCCCACGTGCAGCAACAAAAACCCCACACAGCCAAAAATAAGGATATAAATAAGTTAATTTTAAAAAAAGCTAATAGACACATAAAAATTAACAACATCATTAGTAATTAGGGAAATAAAAATTAAAATCATATTGAGATACCGTTTCATACCCACTAGGATCTCTGAAATCCACACCATAAAATACTAGCCACACTAATGTTAGTAAAAATGTGGAACAAATGAAATTCTGCATACTACTGGTGAGCGTGTAATATGGTTCAACTACCTGGAAAAATGTTTGGCAATTTCTTACAAAGTTAAACATATATCTACCCTTCCTAGATACATGAAAATATATATCCACAAAGAAAAAATGTTGTATAAGAATGTTTATAACATCCTTATCCACAACAGCTCCAAACTAGAAACAACTCAAAAATCTATCAATAGGAGAGTAAATAAATTATGGCTTATTAAAATAATAGAGTTACTATACATCAATAAAGAACAAACTAATGATAGATGGAGCATCATGACTGAATCACAAAAATATTATACTGAGATAAAGAATACAGACAGAAAGAGCACATACTGTATGATTCCAGTTACGTGAAGTCTAAGAACAGGTAAAATTTGTCTTTAGAAATAGTAATGAGAAAAAAGTAGTTCATCAGGTGGGGAGATGGGGTGAGAAGAGTGAAAAGAGGTATCAGGACATTTTCTGGGTAATACATGAGATTTTCATCTTAGTTTATGTGGTGTCACAGAAGAATGTACAACTGTCACATTCATCAAGCTAAACAGAGGATATGTGCATTTTATTTTATGCAAATTACAACCAAAACAAAACAAAGATTCAAAATCTTTACCTGTGGTTGCCAAGGGGGAGATGGTGTGAGGGAGGGATGGATTGGGAGTTTGGGATTAGCAGATGCAAACTATTATATATAGAATGGGTAAACAAGGTCCTACTGTAGAGCCCAGGGAACTATATTCAATATCCTGTGATAAACCATATTGGAAAAGAATATAAAAAGAATGTATATTATGTATAACTGAATCACTTTGCTGTACAGCAGAAATTAACACAGTATTGTAAATCAACTATACTTCAATAAAATAAATTTTTAAAAAATCTTTGTCTTAAAATTCAATTATCATGCTCTTTTAAGATCACTGTCTCCGTACCTCCTTCTACCTTATTTTTTTTCCCTTATGGCGATCTTTTTACAAGTAATCCTCTGTAAAGTTAACCTTCTTTTAGGATGTTTTTAAAATTTTGTGTCATTTCCTTTCTTAAAATAAGTCAAGCCCTATGTTTTACTTCCAGTATAAATTCATTTTGGTGGATCCCCAAGAGACAGGAACAGCACTGACCACTGTGGTAACTAAGACGAGGAAGCCCCAGTCCTTATCCTTGAATCTTAGAGTCAAGTGAGAACAAAGACAATACATTTTTTTTTCTCCATTTTTTTGAGGAGGAAGGGAGCTGTCTTTCTCTTGCTCTCATGGAGATCATCTCCTAGAGAAAGAGCCAGACAATAAGCAGGCAACTTAAAAATAATAATTAATAATAATATAATTTCATATAATGCTAAGTAAATAAGTGCTATGAAGAAGCGCTGGCAGAAAATGGCTAATGGAAAAATAGTGATTGAGAAAGAGAAGTCCACCTTCGAGGAGATAGGAAAAGCTTTCCTGAAGGGTTAAGATTTATAACGAGCAGTGAATGCTAGAGAAGTTTCTATTAAAAGAAATATAAAATATGCATTCCAGAAGAAAGAAAATGCAAACATCTGATGAAGGAACACTTTTGGTGTGTTTGAGGAATAGAATCAAGACTGAATTAGGGAACCCTGTGCACTGTAGATAAAAATATAATTGATATAGCCACTATGGAAAATAGTATGGAGATTCCTCAAAAAAGTAAAAATAGAACTGCCATATGATCAGCAATTCTACTACTGCGTATTTATCTGAAGCAAACAGAAACACTGACTTGAAAAAATCTATGCACCCTCATTTTCATTGCAGAATTATTTATGATAGCCAAGACATGGAAACAACCTAAATGTCTACTGATGGATGAATGGATAAAGAAAATGTTATATATATAATTATACACAGAGATATAAAATGGGGAATGGAATATTATTCAGCCATAAAAGGGAAATTTTGCCATTTGCTATAACCTGGATGGACCTTGAGGGCATTATGCTAAGTGAAATAAGTCAGATAAAGATAAATATCTCACTTACATGTGGAATCTTAAAAACAAACAAACAAAAAAATAAAGAAAACAGACTGCTAGTTGCTAGAGGTGAGGGGTGGGAGTAGGCAAAATGGGTGAAGAAGGTAAAATGTAAAAACTTCCATTTATAAAATAAACAAGTCATGGGGATGTAATGTGTGGCATGGTGACTACAGTTAATATTGGGTTGGTCAAAAAGTTCGTTTGGGGTTTTCTATAACATCTTACGGAAAAACTCGAACGAACTTTTTGGCCAGCCCAATAATACTGTGTTGTCTATTATGAAAGTTGATATAAGAGTACATCTTAAAAGTTTTCCTCTCAAAAAAAAAAAATGTAACTATGTATGGTGATGGATGTTAACTAGACTTATTGGAGTGATCATTTCACAATATATACAAATATCAAGTCATTATGTTGTACACCTGAAACAAACATAATGTGATATGTCATTTATATCTCAATTTAAAAAAAAAGAATCAAGACTAGACTGTCTGGATCACAGAGAGCATGTTAAAAACAGACATGAGGTGGAGCAGCTGAGGCAGGAAGGAAGTGGACTGGGCAGCATGTGGTAGGCCTGTTAAGTCACTGGATTTCATTCTAAGCATAACGGGAGGTGAACTGGTCAGACTCATGTTTCAGGAAGAACACTTTGTCAACAGGATATACTGTTGTGGGGCAAGAGTCAAAGAAGGGAAACCAGTCAGGAAGCTAATGCAGGAATCTGATTTCATGTTATAGAAAATCTTATTGTACACTCATGTGTATAAAATTGATGACTAATAAGGACCTGCTGTATAAAAAAATAAATTAAATAAAATTCAAAAATTCAAATAAATAAATAAAAGAGTAAAAAAAAAAAGGAAAATCTTATTGCTGCCTCAAAATTCACATAGTCAATTTAGCAACACAGTACTATTTATAAACTCAGTCTTATAAGATTTCCAACACTTATAAAGAATTTTGTTCTGCTGGTAACAAACATAATTTGTTTTTCTTGATATTATTTAACAGTCTCTTCTTTTTTCAAAACTATTTACCTTGTAATATGAAAAATCAGCTTTCAGTTGGTTGCTACAACCTGAAGTCATCTTCCTATCACCTAACAGGTTAAAGGATCTCACTTCCTTAGCAAAAAACATGTTTAAAAAATTTTAGAGACTGCCCTAAAGTGGCACGGTGGTTAAGAATCTGCCTGCCAATGCAGGGGACAAGGGTTCGAGCCCTGGTCTGGGAAGATCCCACATACCGCGGAGCAACTAAGCCCGTGTGCCACAACTACTGAGCCCACAAGCCACGACTACTGAAGCCTGCACGCCTAGAGTCTGTGCTCCGCAACAAGAGAAGCCACTGCAATGAGAAGCCCGTGCACCACAATGAAGAGTAGCCCCTATTCACCGCAACTAGGAAAAGCCCGCATGCGGAAATAAAGTCCCAGTGCAGTCAAAATATAAATAAAGAAAATTTTAAAATAATTAATATTAGTGAGACTTCAGACATATATTCTCTGTGGGATTATTTATTTACTTAATTTTAATCATATTCAATGAATATAACCTAGTGCTAAATCAATCGATATCTACCAGTTCCATTCCCCAAAAGCATCTCTTTACATTTATATTTTTAATATGTTTTGCAAAGGAAAAGCATAGAAACACCCTCAAAAAGAAGTTAATAAAGAAAAAAACACATATAATTTTAAAATAACAAGTAAAATTTCCATTTGAAATTTTAGAAACAAAATCTGTCAACTTGGTGAGAGTTACTCCTTTTAAGGAAAAAGTCAGAACATCTGGATTTTGTTGTTTATTAATTTCCCTTACATTCAAGTTTCTGATATTTTTCTACAACTGAAAATTATCAACAATTTCCAAATCTAATTGAGAATTTTGTAGAGCAAATATCATTGCAATATTGTTGGTGCAGGAGCTAAGAAAGAAGAGGAAGAGGAGGTGAAGAAAGAGAACAGTGGAGTGAGAAGAGAGGAGAGCTTTTAGAGAGCAGATCTAAAATTTGAAGCCAAGATGCAATGAATTAATGACAAGTTCAATTCCATCAAGCTTAATAAATAAATTCTAACCTACCATTTCGGCCATTTTGTTTTAGAGTATTTGCAGAGAGCTGGATAGTGCTTCCATGACCCATGTTTTCTGGAAACTTTAAGTCTTCTAAGTTTCCTTCAGTGCTCAGCCTTGCAACCTCCAATTCTATTAATGGCAAAGACATATCAGTGGTTGTTGAGAAACATGACAAATTTAAGATAATCTCCTAATTATTGAAATATTTCTGAAATCAAAACACTGGAATTAATGTTCCGTCTGCCATACTTTATAGTACTTCAGTCTGCTATTTAGAAGTTTTTTTAGTGTTTTAATTTTTTTCAAAATAAAGCAAATAAAAGCTATTAAAATCAGGTAGATAAGAATACAAGGATATCAATGATAAAGCCTAGACTTTAAAACGCAAGCTCAAATCCTTACAATTTGTCATTGACCATAAGTTTACTTTCAAAATGTTATCTTTATGAATTAAGTGAAAATCCTTTTATAATCTAGAGCTGTACTATTATGTCAATATTGACTTATCTTTAAATGTAATAAGTTTGAATAGCTTTATCAAATGTTCTGAAATAAAACTGTCAGCTTCATCCTTAGACACATTAAAAATAGATTTATACTCTTTATGAGCCAATAACAATTATCAAAAATTGTTTTATCACCTTCATGTAAATGACTGGCTTCTTTATAGTTTATAATTCAGAGACATCCTTATTATAACTGAAGTGACCCACAAGGATAAAATTTTAAATACTACTGTACACACATAGATACACACATACATAAAAACTAAAAAAAAAAAAAAAAAATACACGGACCTCATTGTAAGTGATCTCAGGCTAATATATTCAATATTGGAATGTCCTTAGGAGGATATATACATGATTATGAGGATACTTCTAAGCTAATGACAGGTGATACCCTCCTAATTATAGAAAAAGGATAACATCTCCACTGAAATAAAGTATCACTCATGATATCTGGTCCGCTATCGATGATACTTTTTTCTTTTCTCTCTTCTGCTGACAAGATGATAGCTTTTTCTTGTCCCTCTCTGGCCCTTCTGTAGAACAAAGGCCACTTACGAATATTGTCTGTGTTCTCCCTGACGATGTCAGTCTTCAAAAGGTTATCAGCCAGCACAAAAGCACTTTCCTCCACAGTGTCAAGCAACATGGTGGCTGCACGTAGTTGATCACTTGTAGTCAGGTCTCTCCAGGCATTCAAGGCTTGTGGCTGAAGGAGGTTGTTAACTGTCTCGACCATTGCCTACGAAAGGATGAACAGAATGACTGAGGTCTCTAGTGAACCCACAGGGCTGTCAGAAATCCAGGCATACATGTTGCCCAGCAAGTAAGGATCAGTGGTGTGCATGAGTTCAGTATTGTCCCAGCCTCCCCTGTGACATGCTGCAGTGGAAGCATTCATTATTTTGCTCTGTAAAACCCTAGCTGAGATTTTGCAAGGCAAGAGGAAAAGCTGCTTTTGTTCTGAAGGACAACAAATAAATCCATGGTTGCTTCTTAAAATCAATAGCAAAAGCTTCAATAAGACTATAATTACATAGTTAAATTATTTGGTTGGTGAACTGTTGGCAAGTAATTTAAACTAATACTTTTATCACATCACCACAAAAAAAATGATTTTCTCTATACATCACCATAAAACTAGATGCTAAACATAACAGAAATCAAAAGGATGACTATAGAGAGGACAATACAAGAATCTGTCACCTGTAGGTTGAAGGACTTTGAGCAAACCAATTTTTTTTCTTAGCTAGTAAAATGTCAGGATAGGGAAAATATCAAAGCATACATACTCCCAGGGGCTTTGGGTGTGTTATGTGTGGAGAGAAACCTTCGTGCTGTTTATTACTAGGAAGGGGAATAAACAGTTGGAACTTGCTACCTATGGCCCTCAGGTGTTTTTCCTTAAAAAAAAAAACAGCAGTAGGTACACTCACACATAGAGATAAGGCACCACGTTTCTCTTTGCTTCATCCAAAAGAATCATCTTTCTAGTTACAATTTATATATTTCCTGTGGTTAGCTCAATACTCCAGGTTACAAGAAAAGACCGTTCTTCCAATAAGGTCTTCTTAAGCTTTCACTCAAACATAGAGAATTGCAAAACAGAAAAATACAACACTGACAGTTTGAAAGTGATCATCCTTGAACCTGTTGATTATCAAATATGCATCTAATCTGGAAATAAAGTTGAATAAACAGCCAACACAGGCAATTTCCAGGCAGCACATAGGTGTTTAGAAACAGGACTCACATTATTGACACGCTGGCAGAAGGACAGGGAAAGACTGGAGAAATATCCATTACAGCTGCAGTGTTTTCTTCTGGCTGGTGTTTTCATAGTAACTAAGTAACAACTGTTAAAAATTCAGTTTCATAATGAAATACCTTGGCTGCCAATTAACACCAGCTTCAAAAACTAATTTGCCTTTTGATAAAAATTGTTTTTCTTGATATTTTTCCCAGCTATTCCAAGTTCTGGCCAAAAATCAACATCACTGGACTTTTATGTAAAATAGTTCTACTTGCAACTTGAGTATTTTGCATCATTTAAAAAAAAAAACCTCTCGAGTTTAATGACTGGTTATTTTCACATAGTATGCTTAGCTCTGTCACTTGTTCTGGGTTTAAAGCATGACCTAGAAGCCAGACTAAAGCATTTCTGGATCACAACAATCTGATCTGCTTTTCAGGAAGTTTTCTGTGGGGTGATGCCAACAGGATATGCCAAAAAAAGGAGGTGCCAGATAGAAATCAAACAAAAAGAAGTTTAGGTATTTTCTGATGCCAAACAGAGGACACTGACCTCTTGAGCGTAAGGAAGTATTCTTTCTGGGATTAGATGATCCTCTGAATTCATTAGAAATGCTCTGAAAACCCCATATGAAACAGAAATTATGCCTGTGCTTTATGGAGCAGCCATTTTAACGTTAGTGAATAATCTTACATTGATTAATTTAAACCTTACCTCAGGGAAAAATTTTTGGGAATAATGCAATGTTTCTGTTCTGCTCTTTATTCCTTTTAATGTTTTAAATTTTAAAAAGGCAAAAGGAGGAAAGAAAAAAAAGAAAAAGAAGCAACTATGGTCAACTCTGGGAATGTTCTAAATAGAAAACTGTTTAAAACAGACAGCTTTAGCTAAAATACTGTCTTTAAATTGACAGCAAATAAATCAAACACACCCCATTATCTTAGTTTTGCAACTGAAAATGTATAAGGTGCAACATTTTTTCATAGTTATACATTTTGTATACATTTCAACAACTGCATCTTCCCAAATAAAATATAGTTTTTAGAGAAGTTTTCTATTAAAGGCCAAAGGATTTCCAAGTTCATTGCAGAAACGACAGACTTAAAATATGGCCCTAAAACCTGGATGGGTTAAGACACAAATCTAATATTTATTTATTCTTAAAACAGCACCTGTTACGATTGCCCAAGTATAACTGAAAGGAAATGTCAACACAAGAATTGAGAGAGAGAATTCTCTAGTGCTAAAATCAGTGTAGGATTTGGAACTACGTCTGCTGAGTTTGTAACTGGACGCTGCCACTTTACTAGTTGTGTGCTGTTGGGCAAGTTACTTCACTTCTCTGTATTCACCTGTAAATTGGAGATGATAATATAATCATTTCATAAGGTTGCCTGGCTCATAATAAGTGTTTAGGTGCAATCTTTACTTTCATTTGATATCAAAGTCCAGTGTGGGAAGAAAAGAGGTCTTCACTGAATAAAGCACAAGTCATACCCGATAATTGCAAAATATTCACACTGAAGTGAGATCTGGAAGGAATACGTCTTCTACAATGCAATCTTCATAAACAGACCTGTCACACAACTTTACTACTAAGGAACGGGAGGAACATGTGTATTAAATAGTTCATAATGTGTGTTCCAGAGGCTTGAACTAACTGACCCGTTTTCTGCTAGTGAGACAGCACAATTAAGTCAATCTTAATAGCTTTATAATTGATACAATTTGTGTAAGCTTTCCAAAGGTTGCTGATGTGTCCCTGTTACCAGTTTAATGAAGGCCAATTAAATAGTCACAACTCTTTGATGGTAAAAGAATATATTTCATTTTCCCTATATATTTTTCATTTATATATTTACCCATAAATAATGACATCTGGTAATTAAGTTTTCCGTATTTTTTTTTTTCTTTTTTGGTCAAACTACTTATTTCCATTGCTTTCATTAGCTCAACAACATTTCTTTAAAAAACAGGTTGATTTTCATTGTATTTGGTTACAAAGAAATGAGCTTGACTACACTTAGAACCAAAGTTGAACAGGAAATATACAATGAATTTGATTAAAGTGAGGTGCTGTGGCATTACTTTAATGTCCAGCAGCTCTCATTAATTTCTATTTTCTGCTATAATTTTTTTTCTGACCTAAAATTTACATTCTAAAGTTGGACGGAAATAAGATTGGTTCTGAATATATCTTAAAAAAATTTATATTCTCACCACAATGCCTTGATCCAGAAGGAAAAAACAAACAAACAAAAAACACCTAATGGTTTTGACATGTATAAATGAAATAATCTAAATTTTGAGAAGTTAATTTAGTCAACAATATCTTTGCCAGAAACTAAATGTTAATTCACTCCATTATCTTTTTTAAAACACTAGAAACTGAATAGGAGATGGACATTGGAAATTTACATTCTGGTTCTGCCGCTAAATTTGTGTGCCTTTGAACAAATTGATGTTTTCTAACCAATCAACAAGGTGTGAACTACAAAAGAAAATAAAACTCATTGTGTTTCAATTCGAGGGTCGTTAGGGGCATTCTACTATTAGATATTACTCTTCTCGTTATACAGTTTATGGACTAGACTCTAAAGTCACTTTTTTTTAAAGTCTTTATTGAATTTGTTACAATATTGCTTCTGTTTTATGTTTTGGTTTTTTGGCCCGGAGGCATGTGGGATCTTAGCTCTCTAGCCAAGGGATCGAACCTGCTCCCCCTGCATTGGAAGGAGAAGTCTTAACCACTGGACCACCAGGGAAGCCCCTAAAGTCACTTTTGACTTTATAAAAATCAAATATAAATTAGGAAGTGTGAAAAGTCACTTAGATTCATACCGGATCATGTACATAACATACCCTTCTGGACATATATTTGTATTACACAATATTATTGAACCTCTTATCATTAAATTCAGATATTAAGCAAATTCATTTGACTAATTTTACTCAGAGCATATAATTGTAGTATGTTTGTTAAAAGATGTTATAAACTGTATAATCACACTTTATATATTTCAAAAGGGAGGATGTACTTATTTGTTATAACTACTGTGAAAAATTTTGGAGAAAAACAGCTATATACCCTTCCAATAACAACTTTTGTCATTTTTCCAGGAGAATGTGCTTGTGAAATAGTCTAGGATTCCTTGACAAGAATACATAAAAGGGAGCTTCCCTGGTGGTGCAGTGGTTGAGAGTCCGCCTGCCGATGCAGGGACACAGGTTCGTGCCCCTGTCCAGGAAGATCCCACATGCCACGGAACAGCTGGGCCCGTGAGCCATGGCCGCTGAGCCTGTGCATCCGGAGCCTGTGCTCCACAATGGGAGAGGCCACAACAGTGAGAGGCCCATGTACCGCAAAAAAAAAAAGAAAGAAAGTAAAAGAATACATAAAAGGATCCATGGTTGAAGTAAGTCAGAAAGAGAAAAACAAACACCATAATACTAACACATATATATGGAATCTAAAAAAAAAAAGGTTCTGAAGAACCTAGGGGCAGGACAGGAATAAAGATGCAGATGTGGAGAAAGGACTTGAGGACACAGGGAGGGGGAAGGGTAAGCTGGGACAAAGTGAGAGAGTGGCATAGACATATACACACTACCAAATGTAAAATAGATAGCTAATGGGAAGCAGCCGCATAGCACAGGGAGATCAGCTCGGTGCTTTGTGACCACCTAGAGGGGTAGGATAGGGAGGGTGGGAGGGAGGGAGACGCAAGAGGGAAGAGACATGGGGATATATGTATACTTATAACTGATTCACTTTGTTATACAGCAGAAACTAACCACACCATTGTAAAGAAATTATACTCCAATAAAGACGTTTAAAAAAAAAAAAAAGGATCCATGGTAAAAAACATATCAATGGCACTTCTTACTGAGGTGAGCTGTAAATCTTAAACTAGGTAAGCAGAACCACCTGGGAAACTTAGTTACCCTTCTTCCTTTGTTTGAAACCACCAGAATAAAGATCCAGATAG